CTCTCACAAAATTATTTGTGTTTTCTTGTGGCATTTTATTCGTGACACATGCTGTTCATGGAGGTGCAGCATTAAATGTCATGTCTTGTAAATGTAACACTCTGGCTCAGAAAGAGTTGTTGAAGAGGGAACCTGCCATACTTAAATAGCTCTCGTGTTTACCCAAGGTTTTTTGTATAGTATTCTTCTAACTGATTCTAGTTTTCAGCATTAAATACGATAGATGTTAATATAAGTGATTCAGTCGTAGTTTATAGCATGCCTTTGCAGCTGGGGTACTTAACATGCTCTCCTGGCAGCTCAGCAGCCAAAGCAATAGCAAAATCTGGTCCTCAGCTTTTATCTTTGCAGAATGCTACCCCTCTAATAAATGATCCATGGCAATATGCAATGAGTTTACTTTCAGCTCTTGGCCTTTGGGAGGGTCAGGAGCCAACAGAAATGTGCAGGGAGCTCAGTCATTAAAGGATTTAGTTTCCCTTATTGTATGTCAACTTGAATCCTTTGCTTTGTAAAAGCAATCTGAAGCCAAAGCCCATGGAAAATATTAATTTTATTTATTTATTTATCTATTTATCTCTGTAATTTTAAGAATATTGAAGTGAGTTTTGCCCATTAGGGCTAGTTCTGGACCTATAGGGCTTGTGCTCTTCTGGTGGCAGTAAGTAGGATGTGTCAGCTCTGTGAAGGCCAGTGGTGAGGGTGGATTTAGCATCACTGGAGAGCCACGCCATGTACTCCTCACTACTCCAGCACCACAGCACACCCAGTTTGACATGAGGGAAACTGTCATGCAGGGCAAGTGCCACTCTTGGTCAAGTTGGGTCTTGTTTCAGGGATGAGTTTCAGATTCTTCAGAGGCAAACGTTTCTGTGTTTCAGCAGCACTGAATGCTGCAGCAAGGAGGTTAAAATGACAATTCTCCTATCAATGCTCTTGTGCAGCAACTGTACAGCAAGCAAAGGGGACCAGTCTGTGCTTGGCTCTGAAGCAGATCAAATGCTCTCCTGTCAGCCCTTGTTTGCACAGCTGCTGTGCTTGGAAAAGTCACTTCAAATCAGTTGCTCAGTTCAGTTTGCTCCTTTAATTCTTGGCTAGAAATGCTCATATGTTAAAATATTGCTCAGGTGCAACATTGCCTTTGTTCATTTGTGTTGTTGACACCTTTGTAACAGCTCATGGGCAGAATGATAGACCTGGAAGGCTGAAGGGGAGACTTGGTAATTTTGCATCATTGCATCAAACCTTGTGGCTTGTGTCTGCCTGCATAAAACCAGTGCTGCTCTGAAAATGGTGAATCCATCCTTTCTTTTCATAGTTTCTTACCAAGACTAATCACTCTTCATAATTTTTTGCATATTTGAATTTCCCTGAGTCTCACTTCTAGATATATTTTCCTCTGCTTTGTCCCTTGGATTACAGCATCTCATGGGCCTGGTAGGGTGAAGAGTCCTTAGCAAACTGGTTGAAGTATCAGCCTCTCTTTATTTGTATATTTATTTCTAAACGTCCTATATCTGTCAAATGGCCTCAGAATGTTCCTGAAAACAAACAAAGCTGCAGTGGTTGGAGGTGGCACCATGTCACAGATGGGGGAATTTTTGGGGACACATCAGTGTATGGGAGTTGTGAGCAGCCCCTGGGGTTTGTCTGGAAGGAGGGAGGACATCAGGGAAAACAGCAAACATGAGGAAGGGGTGATTAGAAGAGTGGTCAGGGAGATTTCCTTATTTGGATGTTTCCTTGTTCATAACAATTTGCATAACTTGATTTAATTTGCTTTAACCAAGCCCATGTTTTGATCATACTCTGGGGTTAGGAGATCTGGTTTCTTGGCCACCTCTGTTCCCCCCCCCCCCCCCCGTTATTACAGATGGACATCTAGCTTTTCTGCATGCTGCTTTCCCTGTTGTGAAATGAGAGCAGCACCTTCTAAAAACGTAAATCCCAGCAGGTCTTGAGGAGATCAGATAGTCCGGTGAGTATTTCTGCTAAGCAAGATCACCGGTGAGGCTGAGTGGAGGCATTTGGAGGCTTAGCAGAACGAATCCTCTGAACCTTTGAGATTCACTTGATGTTTCTAGAGGGGGATAAAAGTGGACTTAATTAAGCCATTCCCAAATCCCTCCTGATCCGTGACCATTTCCTCAACTCTGGATGTACCCGAGCATCTGTGCAAGCCAGAAGTGTCTGTTTGGCTGTACCAGCCTGCTTGGCACTGCCAATCTGCTTGCAGGAGAGAGGGGCAAACTTGTCCCATTCCCCTCCTGGCCTTTGTGGTATTGATAAATGTTGTGTCAATACCACACGTGATTTCCTGAACCAGGGGGTGTTATTGTAATGAACAGCATTCAGCCTTGAAGGGTCCGTTATTATGTATTAGGACTGTAGGTGAGTGACCATGCTATGAAGTGAAGAAAGGAGCACACGTGTTTGGCAGCGGAGTGGTTCCTGCTGGCTGCAGTGACCTCTGCTGGGAAGCCCATAGCTGCTCTGGTCCAACGTCAGCACCACAACCCACATCTTGATCTGAAACCACAGGTTTCTCCCCAACCGATTCCTATTATTTTTAGTTTTATCTTGAATTCCATTTTCCTTTAAATAGCTTGTCATTTGATAGTCCATCTCAGTAGAGAAATGCTACGCGGGACACTTTGTTTGTGGGTGCGCGATGGGGACTTCACCAGGAATATTGAGCACTGTGTGACTCCATGATTAAGGCCTTGCTAGTCCTGGGGAGAACGAAAGAAAGTGCATAAAAATGCCTTATTCCCATCTCAGCAAGCCCCTCAAGCACAGCAGCCACCAGCGGTTGGGGTGGCTATTGTGCACAGGGGTCACCTCCCAAAGGGACACATCATCTTCCAAATATCCTCATCCCTATGGGGGATTGTTCCCTTTTTGCTTTAGGGGTGATTCCTCTTCTTCTGCTGTCTTCTTCCAGATTACACTTAATACTGGCTGTCTCCCACGTGCTCACATCCTGTATCTGTCTGTTTTCAAATCAGATTGGCTCAATACAGAGGACACCACAGTGGTAGGACTAAACCTTTTCTCCCCCTTTCACTTTAAAACTGAGCGAGTTTACTGCCCTTCAGAGAGCACAGTGGCAAAGTTCCCATTTGGTTTGCAAATCAGGAAGGGGTGAGGGTCTTGTGGCAACTCTCAGAACAGCATTGCATGTCTGATGAGCTCTTTTCTGGCCTCTGCCCCCCTGGCTGCTTGTCTTTGTGGGTAACACCCCCAGTAGCCATGTGTGTGACAGTTAGGTGTTGCTGGCAGCTGTTTCAGAGGGAGTTAGGTTAGTTTGGAGAACCTCTGAGGTTCTCGGAGGTAGAAATGCAAAGCATTAATATGTGCATGGTAAAAACCACACCGTAGGCTAAGTTGGAGGCTTTAAACAGATAACACTGTGGCAGATTATTTGTATTAAAATTGCCTTGATCATGATGGTAGGAGGTGCACAAATGAATGTGCATAAAGGAAAATGGTTAAATACATACAATTTTTCATTAAAAGTGACTAATGGATTGATATGTGATTTGCAGTGTCCATTCAACTAACTTAAGCAAGGCAAAACTGCCCTTGTCCTAACTGTAACCCTTAAGGGATCAGGCACTAAATCTGCACAACGAAATGAATGTTTTTAAGCATGTGCTGTGTAAAGCCAAGTGGGAAATGTATTGGTTTCCTGTTGTCAATAATAAGAACTTACTTTATGATGCAGTCTACCTGGAAATTTTGCTAAAATATCACAGAGTTTTCCTGGTATCGATGTAGAGTGAGGAGTGTACTCAGGTATTTGTTGCTTTGACATCCTGTAGTGCATTATATTTGAGATCACTTGCTGTTGATGTTAAATTTCCTGTATGTGAAGGTCCTTATATGAATGCAGCTTTTGATGGGTGATTATGGGTGTTAATTCAGGTCAGTCATAAGCTTTCCAGTGAATTCAGAGGAAATTGGATTAGTCTGCATTCTTACAGGAAAGATCCTGCCAGGCACAGGGGACCTTCTGCTCTTCGAATCACATAGACTTGATGGCACTTGGAACAATTAAGGATGAGGTCATGACACATGATTGAGGATCTTAATTAAGCTACTCGAACCTTGAAACATGTAGAGTTTTGCATTTGCTGACAATGCACTTTTACTTTCTTTCTGAACATGTCCATCTGTTGTTTAACGAGTGGTCTTTGCTTAGCACTTCCCAGCTTTCTCTCACTCTTGAAATGATTGTCTGCAATTGGTGTAATTAATATTCTGCCCCTGGAGTTGTACTGGTCATCTCTTTAGGGTTTACATAAGTTAAGTGTATCCATTGAAAATTATTTGTAAGCATCTAAGGAGCAAACCCAGAGAGGCATTGCTCTAGTAGTCAATTAGATGTATGCTTGTAGAGATGATCTTTCTCTTCAGAGCTAGCATTTTGACAAGAGGCTTGGTGAGAATGATCGGGGGGAATGGTGATGGCTTGGAGCCATTGCAAAGGAAGTGCATGGTGTTTAATAATGCTGCAAATTCCCTCACTGCTCAAGGGAAATTCAGGCGTCCAGACCAACAGTGACATTGGAGCAGGGTGAAGGAGTGTGGGGCTGTTGTATGGCTGCTGCCTCCCTTTGCCAGCTTCTGCATGGGGGCAAATCCCTGCCTTCTCCCTGCCAGCCAGCACCCTGACCCTGTCACTCCCTAGCACCCTCAATTGCTGCTGAGATTTCAACCTCCAACCACCATCTTCATTCATGTGACAGAGGAACTGTAAACCTTTAATGCCCCAGATACTTAACCCTTAAACATTTTGGCTTCAGAGAGGACTGAAGGAATTTTCTGTGTGTAATAACAGCATTCTGGACTGTGAAGCACTATCTACTTTGGTCAAAATCGTATTTTATGATGTTGGATAAAGCACTGACAAGTAGTGTCTAACTAAAAATAGCTTTTAGTTTTACAGCCACTTAACAAAATAAAAATCATTATTTCACCTTGTGTTTTTTTTTCAGGATCAAGCATGAAAATATAGTTGCCCTGGAAGACATCTATGAAAGTCCAAACCATTTATATCTGGTCATGCAATTGTAAGTACTGAGCCTAATGAAGTTTTTGTGTCAAAATCGACAAATCTTCTTGTTCTGGTTTTGTTCTTTAACCCAAAAGATGGAATACATGGCAGGTATTCGTGTGCAACTGTCTGAATAATCCCTGGTAGGTGATTAGAAATGAATCTCCAGGGGTGTGTTGTGAAATTGGGAATTAATTTTTTTTGTGAATAGTCTCACCCAGATCAGATCAGAGTGAAAAAGCAAAGGGATCAGAACTGGCTCTGTACATATGCAGTTGCCAGTTCTCTGACTCAACAGATACTGCTCTGTACTGAGCAAGAGGTGACCCAAGATGCCACCATGTGCATGGGTACATGGGTGCTGGATTTGCAAGAAAGCGTCATTCTTGCCTCATTGTCATACCATTGTTCTTGACATCTCTCTCTCACCAGAGCCCATCTTCTCCCCTGTTTTCCCCCTCTGAACCTGAGACCAGGTTCATGGCTCACCTGGTCTCATCTAGCTGGCAGGGAGGGGGGATAGGCAAATACTCATAGTGCTTTTTTCTCCCCCCCCCCCCCCCCCCCGAAATAAGATCTCTAGCTCTAGTTTCTCTTTCAGTTATGAGGGCGCCTCAGACAAGAGTAGAGTAGACAGGCAGGGCAGAGGGACAAATCACAGCTGGGAAGAACCAGATGTGCCGTAAGGAAGCCAGGAGCATCTGAGAGAGGCAGCTCTGTGGTTAAATACCCCACATGAAGACCTTGGGAGACTATGCCAGTCCGTTGTTGGTAATACCCAGGCATGGAGATGTCATCAGAAGCTGTTCTGCTGGCTGTGTTGGAAGAATAGTGCCCTGGTTTCGTAGGCCTACATTTCAGGCCAGAGTGCTGTAAAAGGACTTGCACAGGAATATGAGTGTGGTACAAGTTCCATCAAACCAGCTGGGTTGTAGGAAGTACCAATTCCACAATCAGTTGATTAACAAATCCTTATTTTTGTTTAATCTCTTTAGAAAAAAAAAATAAAAAATCATTATTATTCACACATATTAAGTTGTTTAATGTAGTGTAACCCCCATTTTTTTAAATTTCTTACATCCAGATCAATGGCTTATCTGAAATGTAGGTCTGTGGTCATAGGAGACACTGAATATATATTAATATGAATTTCTACATGCTCACAATCCAACACTCACCAGGGAATTACCCTTTCTGGTCTAGTTGTATTTGTAAACACAGCGAACTGATTTTCCAAGGGCCAGGCATTTAGCTATTCCCAAGGGACACAGCTTCACTGATGTCCACTGGGATGAGATGCCTGGCTGAAGTCAGCAGCCAGGAACCCATCCTCGGTGTTCAGGGTGGCAGCTCTGAGCGCTCCCAAGCTCTGACAAACAGCTGTGCCTCGTGTTATGATGTAGACCAAGACATCCTGTGTACAGCTGCATTGAACTGAGTCAGCCAGGGAGCAGGATCAATGTTTTTTTACTATTCATAGTAAGAAAAAAACAGGAAAAAAACTCAAAATCCTTGTTTTAGTCTAAAATGGACACAGGCTTGAGTGCAGTCAAGTGATAGCACTGTAGCAAACTCCCACTCACGTAGAGAGCCTGGGTGGTGAACCTCATGTGTGTGAATGCTCTTAATCAGCCTCAGCTATGGGGTACTACACATTAGCTGAAACTTATTTCATTCAAGTCATTTGATGTTATACCAAGCTGTTGCTGTTAGCCCTCCTTGCTGCTGCAAATCAGACAAGGCAATGTTGTTCTGTGTTCTGCATGGAATATTTCAGGGAACAATCTTTCTGGGCTTTCTTGGAAAAGGGTGGTGTTATCCCAAGGTGGAAAGGACAAATCGACCAAGTACTCACCCTCATCGATGTGGATGTTGCATTAAGGATGGTGCAACCTCTGCACTGTCTTTGAATTTTCATCAGTAGTTGGGATTGGGATCAATTGGCATCAACAATTGGGTGGCAACTCTGAGAAGTCCAGAAGACTCAAAACCAGTTCTGCATGCCTCCTTTCCTGGTTTCAGTCTAGGAGGAGGCATGCATGGATAATCTCTTGTTTCCAAGGTAACACTAACTTGTTGATACAATAGCTGTGAACCATCACACAGCATGTGGTATCTATTTGCTTACATCTCTGCCCTATTTATTATTAGATTCCACATAGGGTTTTTAGCTTCTCATTTTTGTGTATTTCTCCTAAACGAGACAGCAGTTTCCTACATTTTAAACTGGGGTTTGATATGAAGTGGAAGGGGCTCTGATCAAGCAGCTTTCAGGAAGCAGCATTTAGCTTTAAAGGGGGGGGGGGGGAAGGATAAAATTAGGGCCAATAATCCTATCCTAGGGCTGCTAATCCTAGATCAGTATCATGGGCACAACAAATCTCAAAGGCATATGCCCTTCTCCCTGGCTCATTGCCTGCTAAGTGGGCACTAACTAGCGTTTCCCTACGGGGATTTTTTTGTTGCATGGATGGCATTTTCATTACCAGCCTTTAGAACACTCCTTGTGGAAAATCCACATTACAGCCCCTCAGCTTCTCAAGAGGAAGGCTTTTGGGGGTAGACCAAGCCTCCCTATTTATGTTTGCCGTCTGGTACATGCTTGTTAGCAGGCCAAGCTAAAGAATAAATATTGCACCTCATTTGTTCTGTCAAAGATATGGACAAGCACAGGTACCAGTGTCTGTGCTGGAGCTGGTAGGAAAGGAGGTGAAGAGGCAGCTGAACGTGTCTGCTTGACAGTTAATTTATTGCTGACAGTCCCTCTGGGAGCTTTCCCAGGGATATATAGGGGTTGGCGAATCTGTCCTGTGTTCCTTTGCCACGTTCGTGGGGAAATCAGAACTCTGGTTTTGGTTTCATGACCTTGTTGTCACATACATTGTATACAAGCCACCATAAAACTGTTCAAACTGAGACAATCCTCTCACCGCAGGCTAGACCAGAACTCTATCTCGGAGATGCCCAGATTTGACAACTCATAATTTCATGTGCTATCTCAAATCATTAACCTGTTTCTTAGAAATGACTGGGCCATTTTTTCTTTATTTTCCCAAAATACAGGATATTGAAACCCAGTGCCTCTTAAGTTTGGCAAGGTTATGGACAACCCCATGTGGTTTTTCACTCCAAGTAGTATTGCTCAGCTTTGGTTTGAGGTGGAGTTAATGGTGCAGCTACAAAGCAGAACACAGATGTAGGATAATCTTTGTCTGTCCTATGATGATTCTGCTAAAATTTTACAGGCAATATGGGAAAGTACTGTGGAACATTTAGATTTTGTCATATTTCTATTAGGATGATGTGCTTTCAAACCAAGAAAACACCTATTCCTTTCCAAGCTTGGATTTCCTATGTTCCTGTGTGAAGGCCTACACAGGCAACAAAGACAAACAGAATATACTGAAAGTTTTATTCTTTGTGGATGCTGGGTGGAATTTGCACAAGAATATTGTAGAAGACAGGGGGAAATAAAGTGCTTTCAGAAACAGATGTTTTGTTGAGCTGTGTCTTGGTATGATAGTAAGCTTTGTTGCTGATGAGCAGTTACAGGATTTTTGGTGGCCATTGATAAGAATTACCCAGAAACAGATGTTTTGTTGAGCTGTGTCTTGGTATGATAGTAAGCTTTGTTGCTGATGAGCAGTTACAGGATTTTTGGTGGCCATTGATAAGAATTACCCACCTGTATATTCTAAGCTATCTTCCTTGCTTCATGACATCAGTATAGGGAAATATCCTGATAACTTCTTGTGACTAGTATTGTCAGATGTCAATATTTCATTGGCATAATCAGCCTCCTTGGGTATTGATGATTCATTTTCTGCCTGCTGGAAAATGGTGCATAAAATTGGATTTACATAAACACATAGAATCATAGAATTGTTTAGGTTGGAAAAAGATCTTTAAGATCCTCAAGCTCAACGGTTAACCCAGCACTGCCAACACCACCACTAAACCATGTCCCCAAACACCACATCTACACATCTTCTAAATACCTCCAGGGATGGTGACTCCACCCTGAGCAGCCTATTCAGGGCTTGACAACCTTTGTGGTGAAAACACAATATCCAACCTAAACCTCCCGTGGCACAACTTGAGGCCATTTCTTCTTGTCCCATCCCTTGTTACTTGGGAGAAGTGACCGACCCCCTCCTGGCTCCATCCTCCTGTCAGGCAGTTGTAGGGAGCGATGAGGTCCCCCCTGAGCCTTCTCTTCTCCATACTGAACCCCCCCGGTCCCTCAGCCGTTCCCCATCACACTTGTGCTCCAGGCCCTGCACCAGCTCCGTTGCCCTTCTCTGGCCCTGCTCCAGCACCTCAATGTCTCTCTTGCAGTGAGGGGCCCAGAGCTGAACACAGGATTCGAGGTGCAGCCTCACCAGTGCCCAGTGCAGGGGCACAGTCACTGCCCTGGCCCTGCTGCCGCACTGGTGCTGATACAGGCCAGGATGCTCTTGGCCTTCTTGGCTGCCTGGGCACAAGCTACTTATGTTCAGCCAGTTCTTGACCAATGTTCCCTGGTCCTTTTCCGCTGAGCACCTTTCCAGCCACTCTTCCCCAAGCCTGTAGCGTTGCATGAGTTGTTGTGACCCAATTTAAGGACCTGGCACTTTGCCTTGTTGAACCTCATACCATTGGCCACAGCCCATCTCTCCAGCCTGTCCAGATCCCTCTGCAGAACCTTCTTACCTTCCAGCAGGCCAATGCTCCCACCCAGCTTGGTGTCATCTGCAAACTTTACTGAGGGTGCACTCGATCCCCTCATCCAGATAATTGATAAAGATGTTAAACATAACTGGCCCCAGTTCTGAGCTCTGGGGAACACCACTTGTGACCAACTGGATTTAACTCCATTCACCACCACTCTTTGGGCTCAGCCATCCAACCAGTTTTTTACCCAGCAAGCACCACATGCCATGACCAGTCAGCTTCTCCAGGAGAATGCTGTGAGAAACAGTGTCAAAGGCTTTACTGAAGTCCAGGTAGACAACATCCACAGCCTTTTGCTCATCC